TGACTTATGCTGTTTTTTCAAGACTCTGCCTAATCATTGTGTTTAAAGGTAACCTGCCCTAACTTGTAAGATCCTTTAAAGAAATACCCTTACAATTCACAATCAAGGGCGTACTGAAATGCAAGAATAAAATCTAAGATGTTAACTATCAAAATGTTACGTGCTCCAGTAAATCACTAATGATTAATGCATTACAGTACTACTATGTGTTCATGGATTAGACCACACCTTTCTTCCTGTAAACACCTGGGCCTCAAAGCTGCGTTTGTTCTTGTTCTAGCCGTATTGGGTGTTTCCTTTTCCCACTTTGCCTTTATGACACATTTAGATTTGTAACAGAAAGGAAGTCCTAACTGTATTATTTGATGGACTGAAACACCTCACATCTTTACCAGCACCTTAAAAGCAAGAAAGATGACAACTGAATTAAATCAGTCTAATGTCTGAATCGGTTGCAGCATATTTGAATACACCTAAAAAAAAAGTATCCCAAGAAAGTTTTCTATTTCCTTATTTATTTGAATCATATCAAAAGCAACAAGAAACCTAATCAAATCTAAGAAGTTTCCATAATCATTGGATCTAAAAGGTGGAGTCAGATACTTGTTACATAAAAACAGCAACAGGTGAGATCAGGAGCAGAAGAATAAAAACAACAAGCAATGTTTGTTTAAACAAATATAGAAAAGGAAGTTAGATTTAGTTTTACAGACAACATCAGGAAATATGTCATGTTAAAATCAATATCATGTCAAAAGAAAGACTTTCCTTATGTCCTGTATTTGTATTTTCCATGCAAGTTCCAAACCACTCCCAAAGGTTGCCATGAAGATGTACTGTATGTGGAGATCAGATCCTCACACAATACATCTCCTCTTCAAACAAGGATTCATCAAAGTCCTTTAAAGGGTTCATAGAATTGTTATATAGGGTATTTGGTGCTGATCCTTAAGGTCTCTGAATAGGGTGTGTAACATTGTTTGGGTTGAAAATGGCATATTTGCTGTTCTATGAGTCCTAATGCAAGCCGGATTAAAAGGCCTAGAATGAAACTACAGGTTTTCTTCCTTTTATGGTTTGCTCAATGAATATTTAGATATGCTGTGTGCTGATTGGTTGGATTACAGCAAGCGAAGCTGCAGAGCAAAGACTCATCATAGCAACAAGCACTCACTCACTGAAACATCAAGATTGTTGATTTGGTAGGCTGACTAGATGTCCTATTTTTCCATGTCCTACTTTTCATAGCTAAAAAAATGTCCGGCGGGAATTTCTAAATCGTCCGGGATTTTGATGGACTACAGTGCAGCATGTAGTCGAAACACATCGGGCACCCTAACCGAGCCGTCAGCTCTGGGGCTGGTCAGGGAACCCGGGTGGACGGGGTCAGGGAGTCAGTGGGGGAAGGAGCGACCAAACCCGACCCGGTGATGGGTCGTGGTTTGTTCGTTCAATGTCAACGTCAATCTTTTTATATTTATGAGTTTTAACATGGGTGTTGCTTTAAAGTTTTAAGTCGAGGACATTTCCTGCTTAATACACCAGAAAAAAAACTCTGTGTTCCCAGTGCAAACCAATATAACTGATCAGTAAAGCACATGAGCTCAGGCATGATTTGGGAAAACACAGAATGTCTATAATACTGCTCCATTTTTGAATAGATTTTCAATTCATACTTTAAACATCAAACAGGAACAGAACAAGAAAAAAAGTCAACAGGTTCAAATAGTTCTATATAAACAGTACTCCAATAGGTTGACTTCAAAAGGACAAAAAAAAACATTAAAATGCTGGAGGAATGAATGATCCATTTAATAATTAACCATTTACTCATGCTGTAAGGCCCTCCAATGTAGCCGAAAGTCCTAAAAAAATGTTCCTTATTTAAAAGTAGGAACTTTAAAGCACTGCTCTTTTGCTTTCTTCCAGATCCGTTGGGTAGTCAGTGATAAGGATATTTACCCACTGTGGGAGGTTTGGTTCTTGGTTCCAAGAACCAGACTTCTTTCTTTCTGTCTTTCTTTCTTTCTTGACTGACTGACTGACTGACAGACAGACTGACGGTTGAATGACTATTTTATCAAATTCTTACATTTTTGAAAGAGAACTTATGTTTAATCTTTTTATGTGGTCAGAGCTTAATGTTGGAGGACACCAGTGAACCAATTCACATCTTCATCTATTGTTCCGCTGTTCAGCTCCTAATCAGGCAGGTATTCATATAACAATGTGACAGAGACTGAGAACTGTTAAGCAGTTAATTCCTTTCGCAAAAATTAATCATTTTAATTATGACTGCTAATTTGCCTTTGGAACTAATTATTTATAAAAGACCAACCCAAACCTATCATTGCATAACCCCTATCAGCCACAGACATCCATAAAGACAGGCCCTGAACAGATTCCCTCTTTGCCTCTTTGTGCGTGTTCAGCATCATACATCTCCTGGTGGCCCCACTTGTTCGTAGTTCACTCATCTACCTCACTCAACAAACTATGCTGCCAAGCCATGTTACATAGTAGAGTTGATCGATAGAATACGTATATGCATAGATAAGACTTTGCTTTATTAAATTTTTTTTTTTTTTTACAAGTTTGTGCTGTTAGAGCAAATAAAAGGTACAATCTCACAGTTACAGCTTAGGAGGGGACACTGTCCCTTTTATTATTCGAATATAATCTGAAGATAAAAGGATCTTGGTTTAGCAATGAGTTAACACAAAGAGGCCCCTTTCAAGAGAGTGATGAAGTATCTCTTAAACAAGGCATTTGGTTCGTTGAACACTGTTTCAGCTAAAAGGGCTCCATCTCTTTATGACCTCTGCTGTGGATTTACCTATAAAATTAGAGAGATAACTTCAGTACTTTGCATAAAGTGTGAAAGAGGTTATGATCTGCAGCACGACAGCTCCAAAGACTCTAGCTCCTCTGAGAGGGTTAAAAGCTGTAATGAGATCTTCTGTTATGGCCAGCCGAATTACTTCATCAGTTGAGAATTTGAACCCCTTAAAGGATTTCTCTGTGATTTTAGGCAACGCTTGCACAAAGCAAAGGCCTCCTATCACCTCCCACCCAAAGAAGGCCTCTCTGGTGTTTTTGGCATTAATCTCTGTCATAGAGGAGATCAGAGTCCTATACTGATAACACCTGTTTCCACAATGACTGTCTTTGTTTAGTTAGTCACTGTTTGCATTGTTTCTTACTTCATCTGTCTGTCTTAGGCCATGTGTGTGTTCTTGTTTCTAGGTTACAGGAGTTACACAGACTTGGTGTAACTGTACAGAGCAGCTTCCAGGGCAAAGATTAGTCAACCATTTGGGTGTGTCTTCCTAAAAAAAAAAAAAAAAGACACAAACAGTTTGGCCATTTTCTATTTCATTTTAGCCATTCACATACTTTCAGAAGTATTTACACATCTTTTCTTTTTTCACAGTTTTTTTTTTACATTATAACCACAACTTTAAATTCATTTTGATAGTTTTTACAATGTGAAAAAAATATATATTCCCACCAAACCTTCCTTTCCTTTTTTTCTTCTTTTTTTATTGTAACCCTAAATGTTTCACATTATCTATCAAAACTATTCAGAACTAAATAAAAAGTAGTTTTTCAAATAATGGCTGTATTTATAAGGGGGAAAGGAAGTGATCTCAGATTGGCCCATATAAAAAAACAAACAAAAGAAAAACAACCCCACATGCATATGATAAGTAGTAATTAGTTTTTGCTTTATTGTTGAGAAAGTTTTTCTCACTCTGTGTGTGGGGAGTGATGAACTAGTGGTTTGGGCATTACACTTTTGCATTCCAGAGGTTCTGAGTTCAAGTCCCACTCCAGCGTACTGCCACCCTGGGTCCCTGAGCAAGACCCTTAACCCCACACTGCTTAACGGGCGCCGCACAATCGCAGCCCACTGCTCCTCAAAGGGATAGGTTGAATGCAGAGAGTGAATTTCATTACTTTGTACTTATGACAATGTGATGACAATAAGGTTGAATTCTATTCTAGAATTGTCTCAGTTCAGCCGGAAAATGAGGGTTTTAAGCATAACGTTTTTTCGTGTACCCTACAGGATCTAGGTGCTTTGGATCTCCTGAATGATAAACAGATCCCTAAACTTTAGATTCTGAACTGTTATCTGAGCATAAATAGACAGCAGGAAATATGCTTAATTCGATTTGATCAGAAGTGATTTTTGCATTAGAACCTCTCCCATAAAGGGCCATTATTGCCATGTCTTTTTCTTAATGATGAATCATGGACGTTGACAAAAGTCCAGTAAGACCAGCAGAGCTTTAAATGTTCTGGGTTCTTTTGTGAGTTTTTGAAAGAGTCATTATTCTACCATTGGATTAAAGTTGACCACTGTTCCAAAATGCATCATGCTGGTTGATTCTCAAACCTTACAAATAGCTTAGTTTTCTTTTTCATACTTATTGATGTCAAACAACAGATGTCAATGACTCTGTTTCTCATTTAGTCCTCAGGTCAGATCATAATGAGTTGTTTTCAAGTGTCAGGCAGGATCTGGATAAGGAATGTATCAATTTTACAGGACAAGCAGTTATCAGTACTGAAAGTGGCTGATAAAATTTAACTTTGCTGTTCAAGACGTGTGATAAATCCCAAGTAATGTATAATTCACCTTTCTTAGGGGTGCACATACTGTGTGATCGAGGAAAACAAGGAAAGGCAATAAAGTTTGTGGTGCTAATGTGATGGGAAACTGTTCAAGTGGTTTTAATATATTTGCAAAACCATGTAACCTTTTTTGTTAGAGCTCGAAGCAGCTGAGTGGCCTTTCCTCTGGATCCGCTAATCCTTTCCAGACTGTAGCTCTTAGCTATTGTTCACCGTTTTCCTGACAGCAGCCTGATTACGTAACACATTTCCTAAAAAAAAAAAAAAAAGCACCATCGCTGCCATGGAAACCACATAAACACAAAGCTATGTAATGTAAAATAGATGTGAAGGTGGAGTCAAAGAAAACAGGCAAAATCTTATCTCAACCAGCAGATTTTATTTGTCAAACCAGTTTCAAACAAACACACACACAGATTACATCAACCCATCTTACCGTAATTATTTTTGTTTTCAAGATTTTTCATTAAAGTTTCTCTCCTCTCATGTAACAGCATTTAAAAAACAGATAGTCTATGTGAGTGTGGGTCTGATACAGGCTTGTTCTGCCAGGCTGTTTTTCTAGCTTAAAGAGCGCACAGTTATGGTGGTGATTGTGGTCATTGGGCCTCCTGTTACAAAGAAAGAGAGAACAATCATTCCATTTATCAAGGCTACCATGAAAATGTTTGCAATGTTTTTATGCAAATCTATGTCTCTTACCTGTACTAGTGGATCTGTAATTCTGACACAAAAAAAGAGAAATTGAAAATAACAGTGAGTGAGGAGACTTTGAATGTTTACCAGTGGAATTTTAGTTGTAAAGTGTCAAACAAGTCTTCTTACCTGGGTTTACCTGGACTCCTCTGTATCCAGCAGGCTCCTGTAGGTGGCGATCTCCTGCTCCAGCCTGCTCTTGATGTCCAGCAGCATCTTGTATTCCTGGGCCTGCTGCTCAATGCTTGATCGCACGTTGGAGAGCTCTGCTTCCAGCATGTTGATGGTGTTCTGGTGACCAGCTAGCATGGAGCTGTAGCGGGCTTCTGTCTCTGCTAACGTATTTTCCAGCGCCCCTTTCTGTCAAAGAACAGGAGAAATTAAAATGATTTTGCTGTTGTTTCTGCTTGCAATAAAATATTGAGAGCCTGGAGTCTTTTTGTGAGGGATTCTTATTGAGCTTTTTCAGTGCAGCAGCCACACCCTGGATGCAAAAGGCCTAACTCAAAGGCAGGGCTGTTTGCTCTGCAGCTCCCCTGTCTTTATGAGAGGATAAAGAGCAGCTTGCTTTCAATGAGATTCTGTGGGTATTTATGTGTTTGCACCAGTGAGGTTGTCTCTGGGAGGGCCCAGTGACTTACAACATCTGGAAGCAGATAACCTAGATTAAAGCTTCTTCGGCTTTCCTCAAACTCATTTATGACCTTTAGAATGTTAAAATGTCTCTGTGAACTGCTTTCCTGAGAAGGACCTCCTGTCTTCCCTACTGCTTTCCTCCAGTAATGCCTACTATCTCTTATCCTCTCCTTTTATCCTTTGTTCCCACTCATTTTTCCTCACCAGGTGTGAATCTGACAACATGTGCTGATGTAAAGAAACAAAGAAGTGTAAACACCTTGTTTTGAGGTTTTAAGGGCTGCTGTTTTATGCTTACCATGCTGAGCTGGGACTGCAGCTCGATCTCCAGACCTTGGAGTGTGCGTCTGAGGTCGTTGATCTCTGTCTTAGATGTCTGGATGGTTTCTGTGCTCATGGCCACCTCTTTGGTCAGTGCCGCTGACTATATGAGAAACATAAAGACATTTTTACGTCTCTGTCATTACAACGATTAGGTTTAAACACAAGTTTAAAACCTACAAATTGTAGGGTGAAACTTGCTTGTCTATAGGAAAGTCTCCCCTACCTTCTCATTAAACCATGCCTCCTGGTCCCGACGATGTTTGTCAGTGATGGCTTCATACTGGGCACGGATCTCCTCTAGCACTTTGTTCAGATCTTGCTGAGGTGCAGCATCCACCTCCACGTTGACTGTGCCAGTGAGCTGAGAGCGCATTGCAGCCAGTTCCTAAAAAGGTTGAATACGGTGATTAGAGTTGTCAGCATGGCATCGGTATGTTGAAGCATTGGAGAGCCTCTCGATGTCAGTCACCTCTGCATGGTTCTTCTTCAGGTAGGCCAGCTCATCCTGCAAGCCTTCAATCTGCATCTCCAGGTCAGCCTTGGTCAGGGTGGTCTGGTCCAGCAGGCGGCGGAGGTTGGCAATGTCAGCTTCGACAGACTGGCGCATCATCAACTCATGTTCAAATCTAGTTAGGTAAAAGAAATGATGATCATTAGAATGACACGACTTTTACAGTTATGGTTGTTTGACCTAATCTAAAAGCTTTTTATTACTTGGTTTTGAAGTCATCTGCTGCCAGTTTAGAGTTATCAATCTGGAGCAGGATGTTGGCATTTTGAATGGTGGCACCGTTGATCTTAAAGGAGAGAAGCACAGAAGATTTAGGATTGGTTGCAAAGATCATTTAAAGTTTCACACTATGCTGTAGATTGGTTTTTAATCTGACCTACAACTCAAACTGTTGAGTAAAGCATATTTCCTCTAGTCTAACATAATGTATGCTCAATAAAGACCCAGAAGATAAAAAAAAAAAAAACAATTTCTGCTGCACATCAGGTTCTTCATCCTTTTAAAGCTTGCCCTTATAATCATTAACTGCCCTGCAAATATTTGACTTGCAGAGGCCACCACACTCCATACCTTGTCTTTCAGGTCGTTGATGATAGCCCAGTAGTTGCTGTAGTCTCTCTCTGCTGCTGGGCCCTTCTTCTCGTAGTACTCTCTGATCTGCTGCTCCAGCTTGGCATTGGCTGCCTCCAGAGAGCGCACCTTGTCCAAGTAGTTGGCCAGACGGTCGTTGAGGTTTTGCATAGTGGCCTTCTCATTCAGGTGAATGGTGCTCTGGTCCAGGGCATTAGACAGATCAAAGCCCCCTCCCATACCACCGCCATACCCAGAGGAGACAATCCTGGCGCTGGAGGAGGAGATGCGAGGGCCGCTCCTGAAGCTGAGCCCTGACACGCTGTGGGCCTTGTGGGGGGCAGCGCTTGATGTGTAGCTGCGGGTCTGTCTGGTGACCATTGATGGGCCGGTGAAGCTCTGCTGGTAATACATGATGGCTGACTATCTGCTGGTCAAGAGACAACACGAGAAGAGAGGACAGTTAGGCAGCTGTGGACTATTCCGCTCTGTGGAGTTTGACAGTGGGAGGCTGGCTGCTGATATAGTTGCAGACTGGAGGCGGGACTGTACTGGAGCAGAGAGGTGGAGAGGGAAGGAGGGAGTTTTCCTCAGTGCTTTATCCCTGGGCTTGGCAGAACCACCATTTGTTTTCTTTTAAAGGCCAGGGTTTTGTTTCTTTCCACTTGTGTGAGGAAACCGTTGTGGAATGTGTGAGAGGGCTGTGCTGGTTTGGATCTCAGGGTGTATTTCTGTATTTGCTGCCGTCTCCATGAGTGCATGAGGTGTGCATATTTCTTAAATACCTGCACACAGCTTTTTGATCATACCAGTCATTTGGCATCTCTGTGCAAATAAGGGAGGTGTACATGTATTACCTTAGTGTCCTGCCATTAGTCAGCAATGACACTAAGCAGTGTGAAAAGAGTGTCTTTGGCTCTTAGGAAGTCCTCATGATGATAAACCCCAGAGACACAGCAGGAAATCTAAAGTTAAACATCCAGTCTCATTGCAATTTATTAAGATATGAAGTTTTAATTAATCCCTCTCCTGCATCAATGATTTATAGCTGCAATATAAACCTTTAACAATGGAATATTTCTGTCAATCAAAACACATGGAGCATGGAGCACAGCGCTATAAAGCTTTGATGTTTTATTAAACAGTTGTTTCATCTGAGTCCAACAGCAGTACGTCTGATTAAGGAGCAGGAAATGAATGAGCTTTAGACTGGTTGTAGACTAGATGAGGTTTTTGTGGCCTTGAACGGCTGGCCTTCATTGTTTTTGATAGTTTCAGCCAAGGGTATTCAGCTCCTCTTTGTTCGCCGTATCATACACAGCACCCCCCTCGCAGCCCAGTGCCTTTTGTGTGTTTCCATGTGCTCACCATTCATTTCTGATGGTTTTGGCTTGAGTTATGAACTGTGTGCGGGAGCTGTGTGCAAGCTTCAGAGTGTGTGTGGGTGTGTGTGTTTGTAAGATAGACCCGTCCTTATCTCGATGCTGGGCCTTGGCCAATTTCTGTTGGAGAGAAACATGAGCCGGGGGGAGGAAATGTAGGCGCACATGGGTCAACTTGGAGTCATGGGGAGAACTGACACATTTTCCTTGTGTACAATGAGCAAAGTGGCTTCAGTGTGTGTTAACCTTTATCAAGTCCATCTAAAGACCTGCTGACAGTTTGGGACAAAGGTTTTATTTCTGGAATGTATTGATCTGGCTTCTAAAAATTAACTTTAGGTTTCAAAGAGTTTGATCCTAAAAAGTTGACCTGCAGTGCTTAGAAGCAATAGCTTTAAGCATGTTTTCTAAAGCCCTGAAAATAATAGTTTATACTTTTACACCAACTATATAAGATATTTAGCTCTAAATTGGCCAGCGCCTAGCAAAGGATTCATAACCCTCACATTCATAACCCTCACATTTCACAACCACAAACCAAAATATATTTTATTAGGATTGCATGTGATATTAAAAACTCACAGAAGAAAAATACACCCTGAAGAGTCAGAAGAGTGGCTTGCATTTGTACTCAGCCAACATCTTTAGCTGATGGGGTTTTCTCTCTATGAGTTTTGCTCATACAGTGACTGACATTTTTACCCATTCCACTGTAGCTCATATAGGTTATGGATTGTTAGTGGTTGAACCTCTAGTTTGAGGTTTTATGCATTCCTTCAGGTAGTTTACTTTTTTGTGTACAATGTTGGTAATTCCTCTACTGTCTACTCATTTCTAATTTTTTGACTCCTTTTTTTGAGCTTTTTAAATCTTAATTTTTTCGAAAAATTTAGTGACATGCGATCCTGTTTGTTTTTACGTACCTTTTTGCGTTGCTCCTGACAGACTTGAATTGCTAGCTGTGGTACAATAAAGGAACATTCTATTCTATTTCATGCCTAATATTTAGTAAAACGACTTTACTTTGACAAATAAAAGAGGCCCACTCAAAACTCACTCACTGTATGATGCATGACAAACTGCCTCACCGCATTGAGTGAAACAGCGATGCATGGCTCACTGTTTCCCTCAGTACTCTTTGGATTTACATACAGTAACACTATCAGTGTGTGACATGGTTTACATTTTAAGCAGTTGTAATAACATTACATACAAAAAGAAATTTAAGTACAGAAATGAGAACAGAAAACAGTTCTAAGCTTCCGTTTGTTGCAACACGAACAGTAACTCGACTACATACTCAGATAACGTCTGTAAAACATCTTAGGTTACTGAGAGTTGTTTTCTCACATGCTGCCACGTCAGGGGACATTATTCAAAAATTGAGGCTTCAGTATATGAATGAAAATTGCATTCCTTTGCAGGATGTGGCATGTAATTCAGATCGACTAACAATAGCATGAATGGTACTTTAGTAGCAGATGAGAACACATTTTTCTATATTGTTCATGGTATCTTAGTAAATAACATTCTGATTTAGGATTAACATTGTACAGGCACACAAATATCCTTCAACTTTGCAATCAAATGCCAAAGAATACATTTGCCACTTTGAAATAGCAATGATTTCAAAATGAACTTAAAAACTGAAAAATCTTTTCATATTTAGAGTAGAGGCTAAAAACCAGTAATTCAAATAGTTAACCGTATCAAGATTTTTTTGGATCTTCCTTTGACCTTCAATAAAAGAGTTTTCTTTTAAACTGGCTGGCTGGGATCTGTTCTGCTTTGTGAAGACCCAACTAAAAAAATTAAACAATTATTATTATTATTTTTTTAAGTAAGTTTAAGTATTCACTGAGTTTATCTTCAGCTCTGGCTTACACCCAAACCAAGCAGAGAAACAGACTGGATGTATAGAATAGCCTGGTAACAGCTGTTTTTTCACACTGAGCTATCAGAGCTCATCAAAGCAGCTCAGGTGTCAGGAATGTTGAAATCAAAGTAAAGTAAATGGAGTCTGACTAGCTATAGTTTTTGTTTAGGATTTTGTCTCCAATTCACTAAGTTCAAATGTGATCAAAGGGGAGTTACTCAAAGGAGCTCCACTTCTATAGAGGCAGATTTATAGTATGATTTTATTTTATGTTTATTTTGATTCCTTACTAACTCCCAGGCAACATATTTGTGTTGCTTTTTATTTGAGGTGAAAAGAATAAAATGCCCAAGAATTAAATGCTCACTTTATAATCAGTTATTGCACATTCCGCTTGTGGGCAGTGATCAATACTTCTGGCTGAGGGGATCACTTATGGTAATACAAAATGCCCAAAGGGGTACACAAGTCAAAAAAGGTTGGGAAACACTGATCTACATCGACTTATTTCAACACAACCTCAAAATTTAGAGATCAGGCCAAAACTGGCTTGACTTTTTGTAACGTTCACCATTTATATTTTGGGTCATGGAAAAGTTATTTCTAAATCTGACATTCTTTTACTCAGTAAATGTCAAATATAAACAGAAGCTTCACAGATGAACAGGATGTTTTGTTTAAACGGAGCTGCTGCTGCTGCTGCCTTGGTGAGGTTCATTTTTGAATGAAGGGTAAAATGTATCTGGATACTTCTTAACATTGTACCATTGTAACCATTGTGCCAGGTTGCTACCACCTTAACCAACCATCCCTACATTTTTGGTTCTTACTTACTTATTCTTTGTATACCCAGGAGCAATGGTGTAACTTTGTGATGAAAGTTGGTGGGGACACTCAAAGGGTGGTGGCTGATGGACCTACAGATACTCGAACCGAAAGCTTTCATTAGGTTTTTGTATTTTCCAAAAATGAGCTCAAACATATATTTATTGCAGGCTTTCCTATTGTTGAGAACACAAGAGAAACATAATACCCTCATATTTATATTTATAGATAGTTAGAGAGATGCCTTTTAGTGCATTACATATATCAGGCCCAAAAACATTAATATATAAAATAATAACGAATAACAGCCAGTTCCGATGCCAAAATCAATATATCATGCATCCCTAGAATGTAGAATTTCCATCCATCCATCCATCCATCCATCCATCCATCAAAATATGGATATGTTGCATTTTAAATATAGCATAGCATAATTTTTTCTTGTAAACTTTGTGGTGAACTTGGAGACATATTTTATTGCATTTTGCATATCCCAGTAAATTTGTCTCACCTTTAAATCTGCAGCTCTCCCTGCTTCCGTCTGTGCTCTGTTTAAAAAGATTTATGAACCTCTTGACTAATATAATGATGCCAGAAACAAAGTTTGAAGATATGTAGAAGCTCTGCAGTCTGATTCTGTTTGCACAAAAAAAAAAAATTAATTTTAACCTGTAAGTGGGAGTCATGGTCATGGCTCATCTCTGATAAGCCCAGTTTTTTTTTTTTTTTTTAAGAAGTAAAGAAGAACAGACTTTTCACAAGCTTCTTGTATTTTAATAATTATTTGTATAAACGTTTTTGCTGAAAAAGCTCTGTATGTCTAAAGAACTGATTTTTCGGTGGCATCTCTAATTTGTGGAAATTGTGGAAATAAAGTGGAAATTATTTGTTGGGACTGTCCGAACCAGGCCAAAGTTGGTGGGGACATGTCCACATCAGTCCTTCAGAAAGTTACGCCTGTGCCCAGGAGGGGCATCAGCTGAGTACCCTGGGTAACTTCTTTTTTCTGTTTTGATATTAAAAACGCTCTCAGAGCTCATCTGCTTATCTGTTTCTTTCCTATAAAGAACCACCTATAGAGCTACATAACTGTTACCTTTTCTAAAATACAAAGTATTTGCGGATCATTCCTTCCATACTTTTTTTTGTATATCTGCTTCTGTTTCCTTGAACCCCCAGATGGCCTCGACAAAAAGTCACTAACACACAGTCTGGTTCAGGTGAGGGTTTACGGTATTCTCGTTAAAATTAAGTTTTCCTCTCTACCTGTCATGAATCGCGGACAGATGGACCCAGTATTCAGGAGAGACAGTCAGTAGGAAAGTTCAAAAGATTTATTAAAATAAAAACAAAACAAAAGCGGAGCTGTGGCTCGCGGACACTGCAGGCGGGGGGCGGGGCACCGCCCAATCTCAGACACTCTGG